TAATGAGAACATAACGCAAAAAGATATTTCTCCGAGCGACAACAAGCGATAAAAGTAAGGTAACGAACTTGGAACATTGTCAAAACTCCTTGTCGAGTGTCGGTAAAAGGCTCCCGAATGTCGGGGCAGGAAAATTCGATTTTCCTTCAACTCTAGTTGCATTGTCAAGCTCCAGTATTTTGTGGTTTCCTTTCGCCTTGAGGGTATGGACGCAAACGGAAATGCGACAGTAAAGAGACACTACTTTTGTATATTGTCATTAACTGAATTGTGTTATTCAAAATAGATTATGCTATTTAATTTTACATCAAATGAATATTTAATGACCTTATATAACTCGTGCATCTCTCTCTTCTCCTCTTATAAATCGTTTATATTGTAAAAATCGCTTATAACGCGTACACAATTGAAATTTTCCGAGCCACCAACTCGGGTATTTTTAATTGAATATACAATATTAAACTTTGCAATATTAATTAACCGCTTTAAAAATTCCTAATAGTTGAATGCATTTGGGACTCATTGGAATGTTGTTACTGATAGAAGATTTACTAAGGAATTACTAGAGACTTTCTACCTTTTTTCATACGCCCGCGGCCATGCTTCGGAACTCATGTAATAACAGTCATGCAAACTTATCACTTAGACGGATATTTTAACTTTTAGTTAGAAATTTAAAAATTTAAAATACGACCGTAAGATCAAATTATTTTACACTCGAAAATAAAAAAAAGAAGAGAAGAGGGGGAGAAAATCTGAGTTGTTTTCGCTTAATAGACTTACCGATGGCTGATGTCATTTCTATTACTAAAAATGTCGTTAAGAGGAAAACGAAATTATACAATATCGAGTTACTCTTGTCATTAGTGGTAACCGAGGTATCAGGCAGAGACGATGTGAACAACGATGTGACAGAAGGAACGTAGACAAAAGACGACGAACTAACGCAGCGTGACAGTGACCGGAGTGACTGACAACGGGTGACATCGTGCTACTTGTCAAGGTCAGATCACACAAAAGTGTCCGGCTATCGGACACTTCAAGAAAAAAAAAAAGGGGATGGGGAAATCTTGACGAAGATTATCTACAATTGTTTGGGCTTATCAGCATCATTCTTCCACAGAATGTCTCTTCGTCTTACACTTATATACATTATGGGTCAACTTTTAATTTGAGTAGAAACTAATTGATAAATTACGCTTAAAACTTATTACAAAAAAATAGTAAACCTGTTTGTATTATAACGACGTATTATGCTAATAAATGTAATATATATCTTAAGGCATTTCAAACTAAAATGTAAATTTATCTAATTTTAATATCGTGCCTACATCGCTGCTTATTTTCGCAAATAGATAATTACTTATATCATGAAAAAAAACCAAGAACAAAGTATCCTAATTTTATCAGATAGTAAATCCGACTCATCAAGCCATTGTACCAAGAACTGACAATCTTCAATAATCTGACATCCAGACATACTCTGATATAAAAAGAGAGAAAAACCCCTTGGGGCAATAGTGCTCCATGCAGCTCAGGTGTGAGTGGCATGGTGCGGGGGCCACTTCCGAAACCTTCTTGGAAACCAGCGAGCTAAACCGATTACTTGGAGGGGTGAAGAGGCCTTGATAGGTATGAAGAAAGACCGCACAATTCCCCCTTAAACTAATCTTTCTGGACAATAGTTCTCTATGACATTCGGCTAATCTGCCAATTATAAGACTCATAAGTGGTTATAAGTGACTGGAGACTAAAAGAGGTCGAGACAAAACGACAGAGTGAACCAAACTCTCCAGGAATTTCTTGCTCTACACGAACAATAACAATGCAAAAAAAAGTAGATTTTAAATGCTAAATATTAACTTAGTCATATATTTTTTTAATGATCTTACACCGAGAAATCACAACAACAAGACCAAATGTTTTACAGATTCATTCCCTAAGCAAAAAGTTTCTTCACACCTTCAAGAGGGATGACGAATAAAGCGACTAACATTACAAAAATTCTTGGAATATTTTGATAGAAACTCGAACCTGTGACCTCATATGCTTCGAAGAACGTATAATCCTAATACCAGAGAGAGAGAGAGCTGGCACCGTATATACCCAGTGTCTTATTGTATTAGATTGCATTTTTAAATAGAGAAGAATGTTGTCAAATTAATTTGATGAAAGTAAACAGCTATAGCTTTTTGATTAAAGTTTTATTGCTTCTAGCACATTCTCGATTCTTATTTTTTTTTATTATATAGTTACTAAGTAGAGCGAAAAGAGGAAAAACGCATTAAACAACTAAAGCGTTTTGTTGGACATTTATCGATCACGTAAAATTTAAGGCAATTTGAAAAATGTAGATTCAACAGTTAAGTAGAGTGTAAGAACATTGAAGAAAAATCAATATTTCTTAATATATCTAAAGAAAACTGGAAAAAAACCAATCGTTTAAAACTTATAAAATTGCAAAAGAAAAGCTTACAAGTGAACGTTAAGTAAATAGCAATACGGCATTTAAAAATATGAAATATATTCCCATGCTTTATATATATATATATTTAAAAAAAAAAGAAAAAAAAATCGAATGACCGCCTGCTTACAACAACACATCATATATTTTGTATAAAATATGTTTAAATGTATAAAGTTAAGTCCTTATTTCCTTTAAAAGTCAGTAGGAAAAAATGTGAAAGAGACACTGATAAAAATCCTTTAAGTGGGGTATTACTAAGAGTAAATACCATGTTCTGCCCAGTGGAAGAAATCGCCAATACTCATCGATCTAAGAAGACGTCTGTGATGGTCTTACAGCTCCTTACAGTAGATTCGATCCATAACTTGGGTCATGCTAACTTAATAGTACGCTTGACTTCACAGGCCTATCCACTACTTCATTCCTTAATAGTTCAGTTTTATCGGTTGCTAATTGCAGTTAAGAGCTGACGAATAAAGAAAAAAAAAAGCTTTAAAAAAGAAACTTGGAAAACTTCAAGAGAGAAGAAATTTATTTTAGTCCGATCCATTCTTTGTAGGAAATAAACTGCTAATTTATTACAAAACGGCGATAGAAATCTGTAAATGAGAATGTAGAATGAACTGATAAATGAAACAGCAATTTGTTTCATGGTAATTCGAAAGATGCCTTGTTTTAACGCCAATTTATGGTATTTTAGATGGTATCTTCGATAATACCTAAGGGCTGTTATAATTTAAACCATTTTTATGTAGTTCTTTCCCTATTTATAACTTTTCAATTTTAATTGATAATCTCAAATCTCTCTTAAACAGATAATTTGTTTCGTATTTTACACTTAGGCCTACGTTTTTATTCTATATTTTATCAAATTGAAACAATAATAATCTATATATTTATACTTCGTAAAGATTAAAATCTTTACTAAACTTTAGGCCAACACGTAATAAACTAAGTCCGATAATTAAGTCATATTATTTAATTTACTTAATATCTTTATAATTTCGTCAGATACATACAATAATTAACAACATTGCATGCAATTAAATATGTCAAGGGCATTTAAATTTCAAAAAATGAATGATAAAACTAAGGTTAAAGTTTACATAAAAGATTATATTTTTTAAAATAATTTTAATATTTTATTTTCTTTAATAATAATTAAACAAAAAATTGCATTTATCTATATTTCTTGCCTTAACAGAAACGTTTCAGCATAGAGAATATAGGCAAAAATCGATAATCTGCGTGTTGAAAACGCACAGGAGACAATCACTAAATGCTTGTAAACATCGAACATTATGAACAGACATCAAGGCGCTGTAGAAATATATATATACTGTTTACAAACTTCATAATTCACTTTCTACATTGTCGGGTATTATAACATTTTGATTTATTATAGCTTGGCGCAAACTGTAGTTCATTAAGGTCAGTTGAGTCCTTTAAAGGAAAAAGCTTTTCCTTTACCAAAAATTGCGATTTCCTATCAAGGAGACGTTCTGTAAATGATTATTTTATTATTTTCACACTAAAAATTCTTAAAATTACGGTATCCAGAGCTGTGAACAGTAAACACAGCAATTAACAAAACTTTAACAGCGAGAAAAACAACGAAATTGGTCTTTTACTGGTGCTAAAGAAAACCTCAAATGGTGGCAATAACACGGAGTACGAATTTACACTCCCATAATACCGGATCCTTTCTCTCACCGAAATTAAATTTAGCAAATAGAATTTAACCGTAAGTTATTATAAAACAGATTATTTTACATTTTGTAAACCATATGTTATATGGAAAGAGAATAACTTTCAAGAATGCAACTTTTCAGTTGTTTTGAGCGAACAGTAAACAACCTTTAGTCCAGCTTTCTACAATACAAAAATCTTATCAACGATCTACAACGAATCTCCCAACCTTTGACCGACGTCTTTCTGAACATAGGAACAAACCTGCACACTTCAAAACTACGTTCTATCCCCTGTCCATTGTCAGACCCAGCTTACATTGTCTGTAACACAGCAAGTTACCTGGTCGCGTAAAAGGACGCCACATCACAAAACTACAGACACACCTTCAGACATACGACAATCGTTCGCTCTAATTTTTTCCATACTCTTGACTTTGAAAGAAAAAAAAAATCTTTAAGCATTAAAATTTTTCTTTACTGTATCAATTTTATCTACAAACGAAAATTCTCTTCTCATTTAATAAGAAATAAAAGAAAAAAAAAAACAAGTGAAAGTCCTTCGAGTCTTCTTCTTATACGTAGGCCTACTATATATATATATATAAATGATAATATAAATCGATAGTATACAGTCGAGGGTATAGTTAGTTACTTTGACAATGAAGAAAATAAAAGTAATCGGAGCATTAAAGAAACTAAAAGTGATCATTCAACGAAGGATAAAAAGTGATCGTTAAGAGATAAAACGAATAACGCTCTTAAATCGCTTTCATCTTACGTGTTTAAACGATAAATATATTTAGATTTATTACATTAAAAAAATGGTATAATAAAGTACTTACATTGGATTAGTTGCATTCCAGTAAATATCGGCTAATCTGACGCAAGCGATCTCTTGTGTCAATTGATCAAGCAAAGTTAGCAATAATAAAACCAGAATCCATGGCATTGTCTCAGTCCTTATCTTTCGCACTCGCTCAAAGAGACTCTTCCTCTATACAATAATTCATAACGAGCACTCTCTCTCCCTCAGCTTGTCTCGCTGACTTCTGGCTGACTAGCAAGAAACACATTCGTTCAGCCTCGATCTGGTCTGCTTCTACTCTTAACCAATAGCACTATGAGGAATATCGTCGTCACCGCATACTTATATAAATACGCTATCGATTTCACGGTGAAACTAAACCGTACTCTTTCATATATCTTATNACTCACTATCGAACTTCACTTTCAGATTTGACCGTCAAGGCCACCCGGAGGGGCAGTGCCAGGCCTTGGCCTTTTCCCACCTTGGGGTCAGCTTCTAGTCACCTGCGCCCCTAAATTGGCCCCAAATAAGCCAAAGGCATTTTTCTTGCCTGTCTCATCTATTCGTTGTTCGGGTATCTGTAATCATGTAAAACTATTTCTCTTCAGGAGTAACCTTATCTTTTGTTGTCTGGACAGAAACAGTAATTCTTCCTTCAGCTTCCTACAATGTCAGTCAGAGTTGGAGTGGTCTTTAAGATGTCTCTTAACAGTTGTCACGAAGAATAGAGATTTGTTCTGCCTTTTATTAAATTACGAGATATCCTGTAGTTACGTGTATCTAACAATCTCAAAGAGCACTATTACCCCCTTACTTACATTCTGCATCTTCCTGCTCTAGATCTTTATATATATATATATATATAGCCTATATATAATCTTTACAAATTTATCGATTACTTTTCTGACAAAATAAAAAAAAAAACGAAACAAGCTGGCTTTGGATTGGTTGACCTCAGCCTTATGACATTAGATACCATTCAATATCGGAAAAATACCAATTGAACCAATAGTGCTTTGATAAAAGCGAGCAAGCATGGTAACATTTATTCCCATTGGATCCATAGGAATAGAAACCGTATAAGTATGAGGAGGAGCTTGAATCCAATAGCTTCAAGGTTGTGATTTGAAGCTCTTTTGTCGATTGGAAAACATCTATGATTGTAATTTTGACAACAAAATTGTCCGGTTTCCTATTCAGGCGTAAAGAATAACTACAAATTCTATTTGAAATAGCACATATTAAAGAACAAGAGAAGTAAATTTTCTATTCGATATAAATAGAAATTCATTCATATCTATAAGTATCTAGTCGCAATATGAATTCTATTCTAACTACACACAATATTACAATAGGAATCTGAAAGTTTTATTACATGAAAGTTCATAGAGTTTTATAAAACAGAGTAAAAAAAAAAACATTTTTTTTAAATAATAGAGATATATAATAGATAAGATGGCTGCAGATATCATTCGTACGATAGATAACAAAATTTTGCTGGAAAAAAAAGGAGGAGAAAAATCTATTTTCTGAATAAATTCGAAGAGATTAGATCATAATTAATCTTAGAAAAAAATTATAAAATGATGTAGAAGTTTTATAGATATATTGTAAATTTTTCATTGTATTTACTATGAAAGACCAATATTAAATTCTTCAGATGAAAAGTTATTACCTATAGACACACCTGAAAAATATATGGAGATGTAGGCGTCGTGTTCATCAAACGATTGTGAATAGTGTAATTGTCGATCCGAGCAACCACCATATAAAAGAAGCACACTAAAAATGTTTAGGGAGCGGTTTCTTTGTTGTATTCAGGGTGTTGTTGCATTTACTTAAAGAAAGACTCATAATTTTTTCTTCTTCTTTTCTTTTTTATTCCTGAACTATTTCAAGATACATTAGTAGAAGTTCCAAGTTCACCATAAATTTCTCTAAATCAAAAACTTAAAAGATGTTAAATTTGACTTAATTAAATGGTTGTGAATTCCATTTTTTTATACGCTTAATCCTATTCGACTTTGAATTAAAATAAAATTTAAAAAAAATACTGTATAGCAATGAGATTTTCATGCGATAATAGACTAATTGAGAGTTATTAGTTAGCATCAACAAATTCCTCTGATAAAGATATATGTCAAAAACTTCAATTTAAGACTTTAACTGCTCTCATTGCACGGTTGAGTTAGACGAGTNAATTTGACTTAATTAAATGGTTGTGAATTCCATTTTTTTTATACGCTTAATCCTATTCGACTTTGAATTAAAATAAAGTAAAAAAAAAATACTGTATAGCAATGAGATTTTCATGCGATAATAGACTAGTTGAGAGTTATTAGTTAGCATCAACAAATTCCTCTGATAAAGATATATGTCAAAAACTTCAATTTAAGACTTTAACTGCTCTCATTGCACGGTTGAGTTAGACGAGTAACTGCAGCATAACTGATATTTCGGTGTGCGACGTAACGGAAGGGTGAGTAACAGACAGACGTAAATAGCATTAGTTGACAACGTGGCTTGTGATTCTTATAAAGAAAACTTTGTTGAGAGCGTGGGTGAAGGAAACATAAATATATGCCAAATCCTCTTTTTCCGATTTAAAAATTCTTAGAATCGCTTAACATGTCAAAATTAAGATTACCTTTTATGAAGTTTACAAATAAAACTTTTTTTGTTCTTTTTAAATAATTCTAAAATTATCCGTAAATTTAAAAGAATGTTGCATAACTTAAGTCACTAAAGAATTTATTTTTATAATTTTTCTTAAGATTTTAGCGGTGTCTTTTAAATAGTTTTTCTCCGTAAAATTCTAAGTTGAGTCAAGTAAAGTTCCTTGTAAATATTTAAGCACATGGCTTAAGTGAAAGTTTAAAGAGTTGTATTAAACATTTTCTTAGTAGGCCTATATAAATTGTTGCAAAGTATTTGCAAAATATTCTACAAAAAACACCTGTAAATGTTTTTTTATGACTACGATTATTGTCAGGAACCAAGACCACACCCCCGTGTGGGAATGGTCCCTTCTGACGCCTCACAATTTCCCCCTTTTTTTTTATACTTCTTTTGTAGTTATTTCTACTTTTTCACACGATTCCTTTCCCTGTGTTATTGATTAACTAATTTTTACTTTTATCTATCTGAAAGAAAATGCTTTTTCTCTTCTTTTTTACGTGTAATACGAAGAAAAAGAAAGAATTTGTATAAGTACAGATAATGACATTATATTAAACAATCGTTCGATTTTTATTTTGATTTACACAAGAAAATTATTTACCAAAACTAATGTTATTATTTTAGTATTTACAATTAAAGTTTATATAAAGTTAATGTTTGCGTAAATTTACTTTTTATTATTAGAATTAAGAAGAATTTATATAATTACAACACATTTGTTGTAAGTAATTTTTATGCTAATAATTTAACTAATTTAAATTATACAAATACTTTTATTATTTATCTTTTAATTAAAATTACATAAGTCTTAATAAATGTTTTGTTGTCATTCCGAATTTTAATTTTCTATGTTAATCAAGCAATAGTTTTTTTTTCTATAGCTTAATGTTATTATCTTGTAGAATTTATTACATTTTCTTACTTAAATTTTTCATTTTAACCAGAATAAACACGTCAACTCTTTATTTAATTATAATAAAATTTTAAATTTAAATATTTAGTATCAAAATGAATACTTTCTTAAAATTATTGACTCCATCAAGATTAAATTCAAGCAATTGCTATAAANATAAGAAGCTACTGTATGTATAGAAAACCATAAATACTTAAAGAAATTTTTAGATGTAAATCTATTTTAAAGTAATATAATAATAATAAATAAAGCATATACCAAAATCTGAGTCGAATATTGAGCATTTGGTGTACAGTACGTGGCCTTTCCGAGTAAGGGTAATTGGTTGTGTTACTCGCATATATAAGCTATATGTAACACACAACAACTTTCTGGATTTCGGGGTAGCTTCTATCGAAGGTCAGTTCCCCTGTTGACTGGACGGCCGAGTATATAAAATTATAGGTTTAACCCGCTAAGGGTAGTGTTCTTAAATTACCTTTTCACGACATTGCCAACACTTCGTCGACAATTGCTTTGCGCTATATGATATGAATCGAATAACCATTTATAAAGTTAAACCTACACAGACTATCATTCTCACTCAGAATTTGTATGAATAGCCTATAGGCCCACCGATATCGATGGACTTGAGAGAGACCATGCCTTAAATTCCTGCCTTTAGATACTATAGATAGATATCTAACGGAGTGGCAAATTTGCTATTCTGCTTAGATGTAGTTAGATAGTTGGGCATTTTCTCTAGGGATAACGGATGATTAAACTAATCTAGAATAATCATCGATTGGATAATTGTAAATCATTGTAAAATCTATTTACGATTGAAGTTAAGGTTAAAGCTACTACTAACTTTAGTCTATAATAAAAATAGGAATTTCTTACTGATAAAAAAGAAAAATGCAAAATAAAATTTAAAAAAAAAACACTATCAAAACTGTCTAAAAAGATTTACAAATTCATTTATCTACTGTAAGTGATCTCGCTGCGATTAATCGGCTTAACTTTTCATTCTTTAGCTTTTAATCGATTAATCTTCAATCATTGAAATCCTTTATTAATTATTGACCACAAAAAATTTGAAAGGGAATGTTTATGATTGATCAAATATAAATCACCTTGATAAAGTTGCAAATCGATTATTAATATGTTAAAATCGATATTTATTAATTTTTCAATTATTCTACGAAATTACTAATTATCAATTGTATAGAAGAAAAGAACAAAGGATCTGAAAACTTTTGAGATTTTAAAATGGATACCAGCTTTCTACCCAGGAGGTGGTCGAATAAAATGATTGCAGTTCACGACAGTTATTGTGCATAAAGTGATTATTACACTAGCACTCCTGGGGATGCATGGATGACCTTATATCATTAATACACCTGTAATATCAATCTTTAAAGAGGTTTCACGGCCCATTAACACCTACACATTAAAAGGATAAGAAATTTTCATTTCACATATATATTACATCACAGATAGGTGACGTAGCAGATTTCAGCACAGATTATTTATTCTAAGTGCAGACTCTGCAAAAAAGCATCCCAAGTCATGAATCGTGTGAATCGTGACAGGTAGCACTGACAGGTGACGAGTGACAACTCCGCACGCCAGATATTGGACATCACGACACGCCGTGCGTGATGCGTGACTGTTCACGAAACAACTCCGCCTAGTCACGAAATCGTATCGGAAAGACTTTTCAATTGCAATGCCAAAGCATAAGTAATGCGTGAACGATGCCTTTCTGCACATTAAGGCTATTACTAGCATTT